GGCAAGAACTAGTTGAAGCTCCAGAGTTTACTTCAAGCAAAGCCATTGATATGCACATTGATAGATATGGCTTACTTCCAATGGCAAGAACCATTGATAGAGGATGCTTACTTCCAACAGAACAATCTATTGCTGGACACTATCCTCAACAATTATCGACATTGTCCTCACCCATAGACAATATCCTCAACAATTTGAATGTCTACTTAATTTTCAAAATAATAATGGAGTACATTAAATCTAAATTTCAGTTTCGTCATACTAAATAATTCATTCAGTTACAATTTTCACATACTGCCATATCCTAAAATTGAGAGTCCATTTTTCAAGCAACAAAATAGTGACAAAATAAATTTTATAAGATGAAGAATACAACAAATCTAACATATACCATTGAGACAAACTTAAAATTCTAGTACCGTGGCCTCACGGAATCAAACTAGACCCACCTTCATTAAACGTGAAAGAAACTTACATAATTCATTGTTAAATTATATAAACTGGCACATAAAACATAGGCAAAATAAAACTTAACTAGGCCATGGTTATACCTTACAAAGTAGCTACACCAAAAACCATTCAAAGGTTTAAAGTTTATCATCAATAATCACATACCATAGTGTAACGATCAAGTTCATTGATGCTTAAAAAGCACTCCATGAACTTTGTGTTGCTCCAGCTGATACACTAGGTTCCCCTTGAGCAATTTGATCTTCTTTTATAGCTGGAACATCATCTTCATCGATAACAATAATGGGAAATTCAAAAGACATGTCATTAGCAACTTCTTGAGCTTCAATTCTTTCCATTTCTTGAATACCAACTTCTGGCCCCTCGGCAGATTGTTCAGTAGCTCCATCCTTGCGAAATATCTCTTCCCAATCAACAAATAATGGCCATTTCTTAAATGTCATTGACTTGGCATATGGATCAACCTAAGAAAAAAAAGAAACAAGTATATGAAGTAACTGATAATATTCCAAAAACAGAGATTATATTCACCAAGAGAAAATATAACTAACTAGTTTTAGTTTACCAATAATTTAAACAATTGTAAATCACCTTTATGAAGTCATCCCAAGCTTTTGGATCTTCAACCAAGATAGTTCCATCGTTGTATCGAAATCCTAAGCCACTTCGACTTTTTACCAACGATAGGGTCATATAATGCTTTTTCCACCCTCTTATTTAAAAAAAAATATGTGGTAAAGCTTGCAATCCGCAATTAGGATGACAAACATTCATGTGTTGTTCAAGTTCCATCAAATATCCATGTTTAAAGGTTCCATCATCTTCTTTCCAATCATTAGCACACAACTTTTTTAATCCATCAACCAGAGTGAGTTCCTCTTCTTGAGTCCACACCCTTGCCCTTTTTTGAGACATGTTAGACCTTCTTTTAGTGGGACTGCCAATTTTAATCTGTAAGAATGTCAAAAATCACAATTTATACTAACTTATAATTCACTACAAAAGTATACTAACTTATTTTCACATATATTACATTTGTCTCTCACCAGATTTACAAGAGAAAAAAAACAATATGATAAGAAGAAGACGAAAGCATAAGAAAAGGTTAAGATTTCAAAAGTTTCTAACCTCAAAGAAAGAATTTAGATTGAGCGTTCTTCAAGATTTGCCGCTTAGAAGATAATGTAATTTTAGATCTATAAAAAGGCATATAATGTATCTGATTGTATTTAATTAGAAGTGAAGAAGGGTTACAATTATATATCTACCATACACAATTGGAACCTTTGGATTGATAGTTGGTGAAAGTAATAAAGAGCAACTAATGCACTTTCGAGTAAAGAATGGAAATAAAGTGATTCTGATAAAGGTTACAGCTATCTATCTACAATAGCTATCTATTCCTCATAATGTATCTGATTGTTTTTAATTAGAAGTGATGAAGGGTCACAGTTATCTATCTACCATACACAATTGAAATGGTCAGCTTTGGAGGCATTAAATCAATCCGTCCTTTGGTTAGTAATGGAAGATTAATGCAATTCTAAGAAGTGAATGAAAATTGAATGGCAATCCTGTTATGGATTATGAAGTTAGACTTTGAGCAACTAATGACACAAATAGGCTTGCCAGATTTTAGAACTGTTGGAAAACCATTTGGACTAAATTTCCAAGTTAAAACGCCTAATTGCACAAACACAAAACGAAAGCCTCGAAACTCGAACCAGCCATCCTACTAGACCAAAAATGACCTTTCAGATCTAACCGCACTAACGGAATTCTCATCCAATCACTTTTTATTGAGAATATTGACTGAAGTCGATATTTGACTAAATTTCCAAGTTAAAACACCTAATTGCACAAACTCAAAATGGAAGCCTCGAAACCCAAACCAACCATCCTACTAGACTAAAAATGACCTTCCGGATCTAACCGCGCTGACGGAATTCTCATCCGATCACTTTTTATTAAGAATATTGACTGAAGTCGTTATTTGACTAAATTTCCAAGTTAAAACGCCTAATTGCACAAACTCAAAATGGAAGCCTCGAAACCCAAACCAACCATCCTACTAAACTAAAAATGACCTTCCGGATCTAACCGCGCTGACGGAATTCTCATCCGATCACTTTTTATTAAGAATATTGACTGAAGTCGTTATTTGACTAAATTTCCAAGTTAAAACGCCTAATTGCACAAACTCAAAATCAAAGCCTCGAAACCCAAACCAACCATCCTACTAGACCAAAAATGACCTTCCGGATCTAACCGCGCTGACGGAATTCTCATCCGATCACTTTTTATTGAGAATATTGACTGAAGTCGTTATTTGACTAAATTTCCAAGTTAAAACGCCTAATTGCACAAACTCAAAATGGAAGCCTCGAAACCCAAACCAACCATCCTACTAGACCAAAAATGACCTTCCGAATCTAACCGCGCTGACGGAATTCTCATCCGATCACTTTTTATTAAGAATATTGACTGAAGTCGTTATTTGACTAAATTTCCAAGTTAAAACGCCTAATTGCACAAACTCAAAATGGAAGCCTCGAAACCCAAACCAACCATCCTACTAGACCAAAAATGACCTTCCGGATCTAACCGCGCTGACAGAATTCTCATCCGATCACTTTTTATTAAGAATATTGACTGAAGTCGATATTTGACTAAATTTCCAAGTTAAAACGCCTAATTGCACAAACTCAAAATGGAAGCCTCGAAACCCAAACCAACCATCCTACTAGACTAAAAATGACCTTCCGGATCTAACCGCTCTGACGGAATTCTCATCCGATCAATTTTTATTAAGAATATTGACTGAAGTCGTTATTTGACTAAATTTCCAAGTTAAAACGCCTAATTGCACAAACTCAAAATGGAAGCCTCGAAACCCAAACCAACCATCCTACTAGACTAAAAATGACCTTCCGTATCTAACCGCGCTGACGGAATTCTCATCCGATCACTTTTTATTAAGAATATTGACTGAAGTCGTTATTTGACTAAATTTCCAAGTTAAAACGCCTAATTGCACAAACTCAAAATGGAAGCCTCGAAACCCAAACCAATCATCCTACTAGACTAAAAATGACCTTCCGGATCTAACCGCGCTGACGGAATTCTCATCCGATCACTTTTTATTAAGAATATTGACTGAAGTCGTTATTTGACTAAATTTCCAAGTTAAAACGCCTAATTGCACAAACTCAAAATGGAAGCCTCGAAACCCAAACCAACCATCCTACTAGACTAAAAATGACCTTCCGGAGCTAACCACGCTGACGGAATTCTGATCTGATTACGTTATACCAAGAATATTGACAGAAGTCAAACTTTAACTAAATTTCAAATATCTTGGTAAAATGTGACCAGATGAGAATTACATCAGCTCGGTTAGCTCCAGAAGGTCATTTTTAGTCTAGTAGGATGGTTGGTTTGGGTTTCGAGGCTTCCATTTTGAGTTTGTGCAATTAGGCGTTTTAACTTGGAAATTTAGTCAAATAACGACTTCAGTCAATATTCTTAATAAAAAGTGATCGGATGAGAATTCCGTCAGCGCGGTTAGATCCGGAAGGTCATTTTTAGTCTAGTAGGATGGTTGGTTTGGGTTTCGAGGCTTTGATTTTGAGTTTGTGCAATTAGGCGTTTTAACTTGGAAATTTAGTCAAATAACGACTTCAGTCAATATTCTTAATAAAAAGTGATCGGATGAGAATTCCGTCAGCGCGGTTAGATCCGGAAGGTCATTTTTAGTCTAGTAGGATGGTTGGTTTGGGTTTCGAGGCTTCCATTTTGAGTTTGTGCAATTAGGCGTTTTAACTTGGAAATTTAGTCAAATAACGACTTCAGTCAATATTCTTAATAAAAAGTGATCGGATGAGAATTCCGTCAGCGCGGTTAGATCCGGAAGGTCATTTTTAGTCTAGTAGGATGGTTGGTTTGGGTTTCGAGGCTTTGATTTTGAGTTTGTGCAATTAGGCGTTTTAACTTGGAAATTTAGTCAAATAACGACTTCAGTCAATATTCTTAATAAAAAGTGATCGGATGAGAATTCCGTCAGCGCGGTTAGATCCGGAAGGTCATTTTTAGTCTAGTAGGATGGTTGGTTTGGGTTTCGAGGCTTCCATTTTGAGTTTGTGCAATTAGGCGTTTTAACTTGGAAATTTAGTCAAATAACGACTTCAGTCAATATTCTTAATAAAAATTGATCGGATGAGAATTCCGTCAGCGCGGTTAGATCCGGAAGGTCATTTTTAGTCTAGTAGGATGGTTGGTTTGGGTTTCAAGGCTTCCATTTTGAGTTTGTGCAATTAGGCGTTTTAACTTGGAAATTTAGTCAAATATCGACTTCAGTCAATATTCTCAATAAAAAGTGATCGGATGAGAATTCCGTCAGTGCGGTTAGATCTGAAAGGTCATTTTTGGTCTAGTAGGATGGCTGGTTCGAGTTTCGAGGCTTTCGTTTTGTGTTTGTGCAATTAGGCGTTTTAACTTGGAAATTTAGTCCAAATGGTTTTCCAACAGTTCTAAAATCTGGCAAGCCTATTTTGTGTTGCTCCAGTTGATACATTAGGTTCCTCTTGAGCAGCTTGATCTTCTCTTGTGCCTGAAGCATCATCTACATCGACAACATCAATAGGAAATCCCACAGACATGCCATCAGTAATTTCTTGAGCTTCAATTCTTTCTATTTCTTCAACAGCATCTTCTGGCCCTTCGGCAAACTCTCCAGTAGCTCTATCCTTGCCAAATATCACTTCCCAGTCAGCAAATAATGGCCATTTTTTTAAGTTCATTGACTTGGCATTTGGATCAACCTAAGAAAATAAAGAACAAGTACATGAAGTAACTGAAAATATTCCACAGACAAAGATCCATTAACCAAGAGAAAATATAAGTAAGTAGCAATTCCCTAATGTTTTAAAATAACTATAAATCACCCTTATCAAGTCATCCCAAACTTTTGGATCATCAACTAAGATACTTCCATCACTATATTGGAATCCTAAACCACTTCGACTCTTTAGCAACGATATTGTTTCATAACTCTTTTTCCATGCTCTTATTTTAGAATCAACATGTGGTAGAGATTTCAATCCACAGTTAGGATGACGAGCATTCATGTAGTGTTCCAATTCCATTAAATATCCATGTCTAAAGGTTCCATTATCCCCTCTCCAACCATTAACACACAATTCCTTTAATCCATCTACAAGAGTAAGTTCCTCTTCTGGAGTCCATACCCTTCGAGATGAAGGTGTTGATTTTCTTGCCCTCTTTCTGGACACGTTAGATGTTGCAGCAGCAGAACTAGCCATTTCAATCTGTAAAATTATAAATGAAATCACAAGTAATACTAAGTTACAACTTACAAGTAAATTATTTTAATTATAACCAAATAAATTGTAATACAACTTGATTGATCTAGGAAAAAGATAATGTGAAGACATATATACAAATTCACTACTTCTATTAAAAAATAATAGATATACATTGAGTTTCACTATTTGTCTGTACAGACAACAATGTGAGACATACAAAAGATTGACCATTCGCTTTCACAAAATACTAAAGCTATTACATATTACAGTGAGCGGAAAACCAAAAACAAAAGTGCAGAAGCACACCAAAAGTGACCACATAGTTTAAAATTATAAAGATTGATTTCCCAATCTTTCATTCCACATAGACTGAGCTAGTTCATCCCTCCAAGTGGTCCACTCATCAGATGCTTCAATTGTATTAATATTGTCATGTTCATGTTGATTCTCCATGTGGAATTCCATTTCCACATCTAATGGGTCAGCTTCCATCTCTCTTCGAATGAAATTGTGTATCAAACAACATGCACTAATAATTCTATTGTGAACTTTAACCGAGTACCACGAAGGACTTCTAAGAATTCCCCAACGTCCTTTTAATAGTCCAAATGCTCTTTCAATAACATTACGCGCCCTAGCATGCTTCATATTAAAAAGCTCTTCTCGACATCGAGGTGATGGATTGTCACCCTGCCAATCCTTTAGCCAATATCTATATCCTCGGTAGGGAGACAGAAAACCATTTCCATTTGTATATCCTCCATCACACAAATAGTAATTGCCTAAAAATGTAAACAATAATATAATTACTTTAAATATTATTCTATTTTGATGTAGTAGAAATAGACAAGGGTCTGCCTATTATTTCGCATACCCTGAGGTACTTTCAACCCATTTCTTCGTACAACAGCATCTCGCAATACGCGACCATCAGCGGCTGATCCCTCCCAACCAGGTAATACATAAATGAAGTTGAGATTTCTATCACAAACCCCCAAGACATTAGTTGCTATATCTCCTTTTCGTGTTCTGTATCTTGGCTTATATATTGCTTCAACTCTAATGGAAATGTAAGTACCATCCAATGCACCAAGACAACCCTATAAGATAAATTCAACTCTAAATACTAAAGGACTATTAAAAGTAAAAATATTTTCACCATAATATTTCAAGTTTGTGGTAGTAAATCAAATGTTAGATTGAAATTTACCTACCTTAAACCATTTCCATCGATCATCAGTATCATCTTCGAGCACCGGATTAGGTTTAACAAGTAACAATGGAGTTAGTTTAAGAATAGCTCTTAGACATTCATTAAAGGCTCGACTTACACTCCACCCCGATCTAATATAATCAACTTTGACAGACCTGTTCTTTTCGTGATGAGCCAAAATATTTAAGAACATTGCTAACTTTTCAGTACTCGACATATTTTTACTATCAGTCAACCCTCCAATATTCTTGGCTAAGGAGGCCAATATGTGAAAGGCATTTCTATCCATCCTAAGCTTGTCAATACATACTATATCATTGTCACGAATGAGAACATTTAGATGAGACAAGATTTTAGGAATTCTAGCACTCATACTATATCGAATGACCCGTCTATTTCTAGATTGGTTTCTTAATAACATGCTGTAAATAGCCATAAAAAAGCAAATAAGGACAATATACGAATGCACCACAATCTCCTCGAGGATCATAAAGCATTCAACATCGCACAATTGCTGAGAATCCATTTACACCTATTTTCCATTTAAAAATTGCAACATCATTATCAAATTGAATCCAAAAGAAACAAAAGTATCAATCATGTTACTTAACTAATTATTGCAGACACAATGTGTATAATAGGAAGGTAATAGATGGTTTCATACTAGAATGTTCAATTTTATTAAAAAGAAAATGAAAAGTAACATTGAAAAACAGGGTAAAATCGTTATTTTTGTTTGGCTTCAATAACTAGAATACTAATACTATTTTGTCAAACTGCAAATAACATGTTCATCTTTTGCAGTTTTAGAAGCTAAAACAACGAAACTTAATGAACCCATTTTTCAGAAAGCACGATTTTTGAACAAACAAAACAAAACCCACATCAAATTTGGGTGTACTAAAACATCAACCTAACTAGAAAATACTGAGAAGATCTAGAATTTCATTCGTCTCTCATCAGATTAACAAGAGGAAAAACACAAAAAGAGAAAACAGGAGGAGAAGAAGAAGAAAATAAAGCAAGATCAGCCAAATTTTGAGTTTCAGAACTTCTAACCTCAAAGAAAGAACGCCAGATTGAAAGTTTTTCAATCTATTTGCCTGGAAGCTGAAGAGTCATTCTAGATCTAGAGATATGGAGAGAGGATTGGAATGTTTATCTAAAAATAAGTAGTGTATATTTGATTGAGAGTGAAGGGCAAAATAGTCAATTTATATTTTTATTCAGGTATTAGTTATTCAGGTATAACTTATTCCATCTTTTACCCTGCATAAAATAATACATAGATTGACTCATAACTTAAGCATGTATTAGTTATGTGGTTTTCTAATTTTCTAACCAAACATAGTATTATGTGTGTTGAATTTTATACTTTGACAGAAAAATGCTACCAAACATGGTAAAGGTTATGCAACATTTTATACCTGAATAACTCAATCCTTATCCAGTAACCAAACGGCCCCTAAGTTTATAATGCACTTCAAACCAATTATGTTTCATATCAAAACAAAACATTAATCTAAACGACAAAATAAAATAAAAATTATATAAAGTCTAAACAAATAAACAGTCATTAGTTTTGCATAGGATAATTTGAACATGCTTCATGTTGTGGCTAATTTGACAACATCTACTGCAAGTAACTTTGGACCTTTTGAATTTCACATCAGCAACCCTCTTTCATATATAATTCATTTCATTTGAAAATCAACATAATTCTCTGTTTCATTAAAAAAAAATAACAATTAGACTAACATTATACAAATCAATTAGAAATACCTTAAATAATATTAACTTTTCATTCCAAAGACAATACAAATTTCATCCATAAAAATCATTATAATAACAACAAAATTATACACACTCGTCATTATTTTTTCATACAAATATCATTCAGACAGTACATTACAAAACAAATTTCATACAAAACATAATATTTCACATTTAATACTCACTTGATACACATTTCATACAACAATCATCATTCATACTAAATTTATACATTTTCATACTCATTTAATATACATTTCATACAAAACGATTATTCATTCACACTATGTCCCAAATAATTAATTATTGTCACCAACTTTATACATAAATAACAAAACTAATATAAACTCAACAATTTCACATTTAATACAAATTTAAAACACTTGTAATATACTTCGTTAAGAATTCCAAATTTTTTTTACATATTTCTTAACTCACTTTTCATACATAATTCATTCGACTTATACTATCAAATTCATTATCAAATAAAATAAATTTTCATAAATTCGTCAACATTATAATTAAACTATTTTTACATAATAATTAGCACACTTTCATAGAAATTTAATTTAATTTATTCTATCAAATTTATTCATAAAATCACATTAAATTTATAATTTCACAAAACAACAACCGTATACAAAATAAACAAATAAACAAAAAAAACACTACATTTTTTACATTTCACAACAGTAAACATAATATGATATCAACAGTTAACAAAATCTGACTTCACCTTCAATTAATCGACAATTTGATCATTTTTGTTTCATTTCGCTATTATTCTAAAACAAACGTTAAACAATAATAAATACTAACCCGAAGGATCCCATCTTTTACCATGTTTGATTAAAACTGATACATAGTTGTCCATCACAACAAAATCAAGATTTTTCAAAGATGAAACAAACTTCAATTACTCGAATGTGGGATTTTTTTTTGTTGAAAATTGAAGAGAGAAACGTTGAATTTTTTTTGTTGCAAATTGAAGAGAGAGAAACGTTGAAAAAAGAAGAAGATAAAATCTGAATTTTTATTTGATTTTAACTGATTTGAGTGAATTAAGGATACTAAATAATCTTAATTAGTTTAAATCCCTTAATTCGTGCTATTTATTAATTATCTACAAAAAAAATAATATGATCTGATTTTTTAGTTTATCTTAACTGATTTGATTGAAATAAGGATAAAAAATATTGTTAATTTGTTTGAATCCCTTATTTAATGCTAATCATTAATTATCTACAATAAATTCAAATTAAATCTCTAATTCCATTTTTTTTAAAAATTTTCGTTTATCTTTTCTTTTTCTTTTTAAACTTTTTTTCGAATTAATAAAAATATTTCTTTTATTTGTGAATTTGTTATAACCTGAAATTTTTAATGTTATAGCTTGAAAGTCTAAATCTACTGCTATAGCCTGAAAATAGTACTATAATATATGTCATATATGAAATTTACACTAATTCATCTTCTCTACCTAATGTAACAGGTCTCAATCTTATGTTCAAAGACCACAATAACTAAGACTACACCTTAGTTAACCTTCCGTACGAAGCATTGAATTTTTTTTATCATGTAAATAAAATGTACATACCTATCTTGTAAACTTGACTCCTTAGCAAATATCGTCAAACAATTAAGTAATATGTAAAAAGTTTATCTTCTTTAAGTACGTTTTGCACTTTATGATACATATTAACAATTCAACTTTTACTCAACTATTAAATTTTGATATAACGTTTTCCATGTTGGGTCCGTGCTGGCACGGGCCACATTCCCCTAGTACAATTAAAAGGATGAGTTCCCAGTGACGCTTTTGTGGCGAGGCATTCTCCTCAGCCAGAGGAATTCACCCCCTCCTCTTACGAAGAGAATTTAACCCGATCTGGATAGAATAATTTGTTGTTTTCAACCCGTCCAAACTTAATTTTATTTCTTTCCTGAATGAACTTGATTGTACTAATTTATTCATTATATTGTTGTGATTTCTTAATAATATATATACTTGATTGTACTAATTTACATTGATAAATGTCTTTTAATTGCAAACGTGTAACAGAAGGCCCAAATAACTGAATACAAACATATGTTATTTCGTAATTAACTTACTGTCACAATATCACCAACTCAATACGCGGAGGAACTTCACCTTCAAGTTGGAGCTTAGCAAAATTTCTTGACATTTGCTCCATTTCAATTGTCGAAAGTGACAACACAGGAGTAACGATTTGAGAACGAGGATCAATAATAATTTTCTCAAGCACAATAGCATTTTCCAAAAAATATTTAACGAGCTCAAATTCGCACGTACGGCCAAAATATCCGCACAACCTGATCACTTTGAGGTGACGGAGAGGACAACTTACCATCTTCTTACACTCTCTTTTTACCCTCAATGGTTTGAACCAAACCAACTGTCAACAAGAAAATTGAACCACAGTTACACAAGTATAAATATGACAAAAGTATATTGGAAATGAGAAGAATCACTAAGTTGGGCATCCATCAAGGTAAAAGCAATTCATGGGAACTTACGAGTTACAACATAACACTAGCAAAATCCACATACCATTACCCAGTATTCAGGTCAATTTGTCCCAAAGTCGCCCAGAATGGAACTAAAGATCTGGTCTCCCTCCACTTCTAAGTTGCTCGGACTCTCCAAAAATGTTTCTGCACCTATGTCAAATCCTTCAATCCGACACGCACCCGTCGAACAGTCCGAGCAACATAGCTCCACTTAACTCCCTCCCTCATTGGAACTATTTATTATGTTTTCTTGGTATCTCTACTACTTAGCATCCATCTTTTTTTATCAAACCATGAACTGAATGCATAAATAACCACCAAAGTAGTAACTCGTTTAAAGAAATAGCCTAGAACACAAGTATAGATTTTCCATCCCTCAGACAGCATCTATAGTTGCTCATCCGGACATTCATAACTCAAAATATAAACATCGAAAACATCTAAACATATATCTTCTGCTATTTTAATCAAGGAGATCAAAGAAAGCTGCTGTAAACATTTATAATTTCATTTCAAATTTGTTTAAACAACAAAATACTTTTAGATAAGATAATTTTTGGAGTTGTTCGTACTTTGTTCTTATTTCCTCGAGTGCTTCAAACTCAAAGCATTCAACTTTTCTCTGACCCTTCAAAATCTCAAATGATTTTCTTTTCCAACATTAAAACCAGGTAGCTTTATTCAAATATCACTTCGAAGTAAATTTAAAGGATTCTTGTTCTTGACTGTTATCAACTTCCCTGCTTATGATCACATTTCAGGTTAGCATTCTAAGAAAAAACTTAGATAGAGTAATTCTACAGTTAATTTTCAACTATTCAAATGTTGTTCAATGTGCTTACACATAAATTTTTGAAAGTTATTTTATGTCCCAAGGCAATGAGTTCCACAGGAAATAAATGACGGCTATCCTACTTTTCCTTTTTACAATATCTTTTCCTAGGCCAATATACTCGAGGTATATGAAGTGAATGGTTGGTGTGCTGAGAAATAAGTAATCGCCGAATTAGATAATATACGTCATATCAAAATAAAAGTTCTATTCAGGGAATCTATCCGTTAGGCTGCAGAACTTTCAGAAATAATTACTTGTTGACTATGAATTTTGCCATCAAAAACTTGTGACTTTCATCTGCAAGAGAGATGACTATGCCTCCAAGGCAATTCCTTGCTACCCAAGCTATTGAGAAATAATAAGACTCTAAAATAGCTTAATTACAGAAAATAAAATAAACTAGACATTTGCCCCGTTACTTCATCCCATACCAGGTCCATATACATTGGAATCCAAAGGAACTTTCAAACCTGGAATTGATTTACCAATGAAACACTCAGCTGGAGTCTGTGAACATTGTATTCATGAAAAAACTGCTTTACACTAAACGAGGTTCTATTAAATTATCACAATACTATTTCTATCTCACCATTAACTATTTGAAATTTATTTCATAAAAAAGGGTCAGCTTTCCTCTTCAAAAATAGCTTGTTTCCCAACATAAAACCTCTACCTCAAGTATTCTCTATATCACCGGCTCCATTACCAGAAAATACCATCAATTCAAACACCTATTCCTCAGTCATTTAGTTGGAATACAAACTCCTGATGCTCCTCCTACCAAGTGTTCTCTTGATTCGCAACAACATTGTCCAAGTCCTCATCTCCACAGCCTCTATTCTACTCTATTCATCCTTCATAGGACCACCTATCCACTACCTATGGCAACTTAATTCTCAACCTTACTGCTGGCCTGTTCTGTTTTGAAATTGGTTCACAAAATGAGGACAAGTGAGTTTACAGTACAAAGTTTTTGGACAAGTTTTTGAGCAAGATAGTCATTGTATAACGAAATGTCTTTGAAATGAAAACGTTGATTGATAGGGGAATCGGTCAATTACAAGCGCCTACAGAATTAGTGATACCAACGAAATGCCAGAATCATAATTCCATTCTGCCGCCATACCTCCATACCAAACGAGCTGTAAGATTTTAAGGCAGTAATTCGGTAAGAGATTTTAAGTGGAAGAGTTGTGAAAGATCAGATTTGGTTTCAGGTGATAAATGCCTTAAGTCAACTCAGCTGTCCACAACCTATAGAAGAATGGACACCTACATAAGGAAGGGGACTACTAGAAGTAATACACATTCATGCCCAGCTTGTCATAACCTATTCTACCTGAGGTTGATTTGTGATGTAACTGAATTGAAGTGTTGAAGCAAGCAGCACTAATTTCTTGAACCAGAACTCAAAATGATCAAATTAAAATTGATACTTACCTTCAACTCAAATTCCTCCAACAGTGGTGCAGCCCCTATCACATGTGTGCAACCTAAGAGAGACGTGTCTCTCCATGCAAAAACATGAGCGACAAATTTCTTGAGCTTGGTAAATTCAGGAAACTTGTAATTCCCCTGGGAGATATTAAAACGAACCAATTAGCACATGCGAAGTAGTAGGATAGAGATTTCACAATTTTTGTTCACTAACCAATACCAATCCATCAGAGGAAGTTATTTTGAGGACCTCCAGCTGAGAGAGAACACAAGAAATCGGAGCCAATATGTCTTTCAGAATAGGCCTGAATGCACCAACAATCTCTACCTTGATCAGCATAGGAGCATTTGAGAGAAATAATTTGGTTGCTGCTGAAGCCACAAGTGTTACAAGGTTTGTATCATGGATTTTAAGTGATTCTAAACACTGGCAGCGCCAAATTTCCAAGTGTTTCAACTTGAGGGAAGGACCAATGACTTGCAAATTTACCAGCGTTCCAGATCCATGAACCACCATTTCTTCAAGAAACGGGCAGTTATGAAGGAAGAACTCAAGAACTTCGCCTGTCACATTTACTGACTTCAATAACAGTACCTTTACAGACATAAAATTATGCCAGAGAGCTGGCAACTTATCATTGAGACCAAGGAGCTGAGCCGGGAAAGTGTAGCAATAATCAAAATCTCGAGTCTCCTTCCCACCTTTTAACAAGTCCAACTCTAGCCTCTGGACTTGCCTAGCAAAGGCAAACTCAAGCCACTTGTCAATCTCATGCTGGGAAAATTTGTTTAAATCGAAGCAAACACGAAATTGGTCTAATCTATGTACTTCACACTTGTGTAAAGTACGGTTAACCCATCTCACATACTTCTTCATATGCATTTTCCTTAGTTTGTGATTCAAAAATACTTGGTGTAATGGTTCGGTGGCATCAAAATCAAGTCGAGGAATATATTTCCACACGGGTAACCACCTCTTGGAGAGGAGACTAGTGTATGTTGCTTCCTTAATGGTAAGGAAAGACAGTATATAAACCAGAATATCATCAGGCAACTGACTAATGCGATCTTCTTGAGTGCAAGGACACTAAATATTAGAACAGTTTCATCAAATCAATCTATGAGACAAACAAATAAAAAATACATAAAGCACAAGTCTTGTAGCATTAATTACCTTCTTTAGAGCAAAATTAATGGAAAGTTGCTGTCTTTTCCCCATGAATTACCTGCATAACTTAGAATGAGCTAAAGTCTGCATGTTTTCTTTGTTCTTACAACTACCACAATCAATCACGACTAACATGGACATATATAAATAACAATAGAGTTGTTTAGAAACCAAAAGAGAAAGAGTAAAAACCTAATCGAAGAAATTAAAACTAAAATATAGTCCCTGGAACAGAAAGAAAGAAATAGCAGAACAAAAGATGCAAGATTGCTCTTTTGGATAACATACCGCCGGAGATGGCTGTTAGATATATATATTCTACTATATTATAAAAGGTAGTTTAGGGTCAAATATAATATATAATATTCAAGATTGAGACTTTTCCAATCTTGAATATTATATATTATACTTGTGGAACTTTTAAAAGGGAGTTTATGCCCAAGTATAATATATAAATATAGTAGAACTTGGGCATAAACTCCCTTTTAAAATAATATATATATGTCACAAATGGAAAAGTTCCAATGAAGGAAGCAACATTTATTATTTACAAATGACTTAAAAAATATTAAAAATTACAATAATTACCAATTTAAAATATTTAAGAGTTATATAATAAAATATGTTGATTCTCAAAATTCTATCAGACTCACATATATTGGGATAGAAAAAATAACACATATCATTTTAAAATTACCAAAAAAGTATTATAAACCATAATAATTAACAACTTAAAATATCTGAAAGACATTTTAAAAGGGTTAATTTTGTAATTTTATTCATATCACATAAATTAAGACAAATTGACCAGTAATGTACGTTATTTCAAAGTTACATAAAAATATTATAAATCACAATAATTAATAACTTAAAACATTTTTTAAAAAAAATATGAAAATTTGGATGACTCTCCAAATTTCATTTGTGTCACATAAATTGAGACAACAAAAATAACATAAATTGGGTCCATTTTAATTTATTTGTCTTATTTTTTTTATATTTAAAATTGCGTAAAAATACTATAAATCATGATAATTGACAACATAAAATATGTTTTGAAAAAAATACAAAAAATTCCATTGATTCTTGAAGTGAATCTATCGTAAAAATACTATAAATCATGATAATTGACAACATAAAATATTTACAAAATGTTGTATGTGGGTAGTCTTATTATGTCTTAAATAGCATCAAAGAAAGTACAGGTTTGTGATAAAAAAACTTATTCTTTTATCCACGCAAACAATCGCTTCAAAAACTCGATTATTAGCCCCAAAACATACCATTTATATTATTGGGCCCGTGCATAGCACGGGCAACATTATCTAGTTACTCATATTTAGAAATGAGACTTAGAGGACTAACACTGCATTAAATTGGTTGTACAACATGCATAGAATTTTGTACATTGTGCAAAAAGAATTGTACATTAACTTTTATAAATGACAATTACAAGGACTAACATTGCAATTATTATTATTACTCATTACTCCTTATTAGAATTATTATTATTACTCATTTTACTCCTTATTAGAGTTGACACTTTAAATGACGAACACGGCACTACCAAATTGTACACAAAGCATTTCAAATTGTACTATAAAATTAATTGTGCCTCATTAATTTTACATGTGTCTTTCTACATATACAACAACTCACATGAAGAATTACTTTTCTGAGTTTTTCCTCAGTTTCTCTCTATATATTCATTTTTTTTAATTTTCTTTTTTTCTACTTTCCATTCTCCCCTTTTACTCTCTCTTTAGTTAATCTTTGATATTACATTTTTTATAGATCTTTAAAATATTTTGAATTATTAATTATTGTGACTTATAATACTTTGATATTTACGTAGTTTACAAATATATAAATTCCATTTTTAAAAAATTTAAGATACCATGCGCAAATTTTCGATCAAACTTAAACTATTTGATTCTCGAAAAATAAAAAGTGTCACATAAAATGGAACAGACGGAGGATAACTCTCAATTAAATTTATTTCAGTTTTTATTTTCCATTTTTAACATAATTTTTCAAGTTGGATTTCTAGGAATTGTATTGTAGACCCATTTAGATTTTACCCTTTTGTTTTTTCAAAACAACCCTAAAAAACAAATGGTGATTACAGACAACAAAATTTCAATAATAAAGAAATTTGAACGATAAATTCTTCACTATCAGATGACAAAATTTCAAAACCATTAAAAAGAAAAAATGTATAACCATACAGAGATTTAAATAAAAATTTAGAAAGCAATGGAAGAAATCAGTGGTAGGCAAATCAAGAAAATAAAATTTTCCTAAATAGTAGACGTGGTTTGATGAGAAAGAACTATAGTATAGGTATTTATACAAAAGTGAAAGATATTGAATAGCCAATCAGATTGGACCAAGTTTATAGACGCGTGGGGACTTAACACAATTTTTTAATTGGTTCACGGTAGTGAAGATCTCTGTTTGTGATAGTGAACAACAACAATAATAAATATATTTAGTGTAGTCTTATAAAGTAAAATCTGAAGATGGTAAAGTGCAAACAGATCTCATCTCTTCTACTTTAGAGATAAAAAAACTATTTCTCATTAACCCTATTTATCGTTACGATAAAACATTAAAAAATACTACTATATTACTCCTTATTAGAAGTGACACTTTAGAGGACAAACACGGCACTACGAAGTTGTACACAAAGCATTTTAAATGAAAATAAGTTTACATATTTAAATGATGAAAAATAATAATCTTAATTAGTTAGTTTCCGTATCTTAATATATTATTATATTTAAGTTCAGACATGTAGTTACTTTTTGGGACAACTTATATTGGGAAAACAAAAGAATATAAGAAAATAAATTCAAAAATAAACATAAAACAGAACAAAAAAGACAATTAACTACGCAAAAAAGATTCAAAAAAATTACACATACAAATTCCTATTTCTTTTAATTTTGCTTGGCTTAAACACAAAAATATTAAAAAGTATATTTCACGTTTTAAATAAATATTGCATTCAATATAATAAATTCTGTAACATAATAGGAATTATATTTGTACATTCTTACACTAATAAAGAAATTAATTATAGAAAATGAAGACAATAAAAATAGAGTTATTCAGACAAATATTCTATTATAAGTAAATAGAAAGCAAAGAAACTAACTGTATTTTCAAAATTATAAATTAACGCAATTTTGAAATAACTTGAAAACTCCTGCAAAACAACAAAAATGAAAAATATAAAGACTGCAACTTCACTTATTAATAAACAACTTGAAATCTCCTCAAAAACAACAAAAATGAAAATTTTAAAGACTGCAATTTTACACATTAATAAATAAATTTTTTTTAATAAAACCAATTGTATTTTCAAAATTATAAACTAACTTTTCATTTTCATGTTCTATCATTTTTGTTAGTAAAAATTGTTCCACCAAACTATGAAAGTATATGTACGTATTTCTTTAAGTAGCATATCAATATCCATCGACTCATTTCATGCTTTTATGTTTTAAAATATTATAGCCCACAAACACAATAAACTACTATTATCAACAAAAAAGTGAGATATGAATTTACATTAAGAAATAAATTTTTTGAAGAGTGTTATCAATATAATATAATCAAATTATCTAAGAATTACATAGAGGTCTAAAGAGAAAAATTTAAAGGGAAAACGGCCTGATATACCCCTCAGCTTTATCAATTAGAGCTGATATACCCCTCATTATGGTAAACTTTATTATAGATGTCCCAAATTTTTTTCAATACAAAAACTAAATAACAATATAGTGGAAAAAAATTGTGTTAAATTATAATATAGCCACAAAAAAAATTGGTTTTAAAATTTTCTCTTTACACTAACGAACGAAAGAAAAAATTAAAATAAGAATAAGAAACTCAAAAAATGATAATCAAAGACTTCAAAAAATAATTTATGTATAAAAAAGATTAAAATATGCCTTGAAATTCGCTAGAAGGATCATATATACCCCTACATGATTTTTAAAAAATTTAAAAGTCAAAAATATAAATTTAAAACTATTTTTTTTCACTTCCGTTAAATTAAGGGTATATGTGAGCTCATTTTGTAACGGTAGGGGTATATGTGAGCCGTTTGTATAACGGTAAGGGTATATATGAGCCACTATCATAACGAGGGGCATATCAGCTTCAAATGACAAAGTTGAGGGTTATATCAGACTCTTTTCCTTAAATTAAATAATTTTTTAAAAAAAACTCAAGATTTATATCTTCACGAACACAAACAAATAATATTAAATGTATGATTTCAACAAAGAAAGAGTTGTAATTATATTAGACATATCAAATTATTTTACCTTGTAAAATCAAATTATGTAAGAATGTCTAACCATTTTCATTATAGATATATCTCCTATAATTTGCAAAATATAATCAAATAAGTAAAAAAATTATCTAGCAAAAGAAGAAAAAGATAAAGAATAAGGAGAAAATTACATTTAATCATAAGTCCTCCTACACATATAATCATTTTTGACAAAACATAAATAATCCAAAAGGAAATAATATAATAGAAACATTACTTCTTAAGCACCTAAAAAAATAAAGAATAATCAATCTATATAGCTAAAAATCCATTAATCTCCATCTTTGGATGATTTCATTTCATCCTATATACAAGAGTCAAGAAAAATAATAACAAATTATTACTCCTAAAATGAATCTCCATTTTTATGGTTATAAAGAGAATCATAAAAATAACAAACCAAAATAATTTATCCAAAAGAAACAAAAATATGCTTTGACATATTAGCCTTACTTGCTAATTAAAAGTAATATATGAAATCATATTTCCAAAACATAATGCACCTTAAAGCTTAAAAATATTGTAACTTGTCTACCACTAATTCTCTAATTGAAGATCACTACAATATAACACACAATTTTAGGGTGATTTTATAGTGTTAATATAACCTTCTACATTAAATAATTAGAGGTTACAAATATGAAAGGCTTGAGAGGTTATGAATATGAAAGGTTTGGGAGTTATGAATATTATTAATTCTAATTTA